CATGCGTCAAAACACATCTTTTGGCAACTTAAATAGGAAATGAAAAATGAAGCTCCACTGCTTCTTCAAGGACATGTAGCCTAAACAAGACTTCTGTTCAGACTTCACTTTATTTTTCAAACTGTTATCTGTGCTGTGTTTCAAAGATTCCTCTGAATGTCAGCCAAATCCTTCTGTTTCTAACACAATTCATAAAGCTCTGTTTCTGTTCAAAAACAAACGTTTCCTCCCTAAACATTTCCAGCAGAAGGTAGTTTTAGTGAAATCCCCTGTTAGTTTGAGAAAAACATACACAGCAAATTATGACACTGATTACTGCCTATAAAAAACACAATATGCTAAGATTACATTATCAATATAGTATCAATGTTTGCAATAAAGAAAACACCTTCTGAATAGTTAATCAAGCACAATAGAAAGTCTTACAATTAAGGTATTATTGTTAAATTCAGTAATGACAGCGTAATTTGGCATAAACCCTCTTGTTCTCCTATTATATCACAATGCTCTGTGTAACCTTCACCATCGTCTAGGTTATGTGTCTGCATCTGCCACAGAGTGTTGAAAGTGTTACCACTAAAGATGACTTAGAAATATTTACTAATGTTTGCTGACTAGACTTGCGGGTTAATTTCATCGTAACATTATGGACTTCACTGAGCTCCTGAGAATGACCTATTGTTTTTAAACAAAGGAAATGTACAAATACTGGGTTGCAGCAGGCACTAGCATAGAGCTGTGCAAGTAAAAAAAAGATAATAAGACCAATGACAAGCAAGTGGTTGAAGTTTGAACTTTACAGGAAGGCTTTTCAAAGGTTCTCACTATTAGCCGATTGAAGCTACAAGAGCAACTATCAGTTGTTACTAGCTGCCAACACTTATAAGTTAGCATTTAACTGGACGTTTCCAGTCTTCCCAATAGTCTGATTAGTCTGTTAAACTGGTTACCAGCTCAGCAAATGTGTCAAGCAACAAGCATAGTTCCCTTAGGTCTGATTACACTCGACAGAGCAGCTTAATGTAAAAATGTAAATCCCTGTATTGTCCCACAAATTTACTCTCCGTATTTGACCCATCCCCTTGGGGAGCAGTGGGCTGCCATTGTGTGGCGCCCAGGGAGCAGTGTGGGGTTAAGGGTTATGTTCAGGAAGCTATAGTGCAGGCTGTGGGGATTGAACCGTGTACTTGCAACCTTCTCAGAGCACAAAGGCACTGCTCAAACCACTAGGCCAACATTCCTGATAAACACTGACACAATAGTTTATGTCTCACTTTGTAGGATCAGACAGCAAACCTTTACAATAATAGCCTAATTTTGGTATACAATATTCTGAACTTCAGATATCAAAATACTGGTAATCTCTGCAGTAATCTCTCTGCCTATACAAAACACCACACTAAAGACTGTAATCAATTTCTGGTAGGAATAATTTAATACAGGGGACATCCTTTGTTTGTTGGAAAGGCTGTGATTAAATGTTACCACCACTATAGCTTCTAACGATAATAGTAGCGATTTTTTCTAATGTTAAACTAGTTCCTCAGATGAACTTTTCATATTATAGAGATCGTACTAGTGAATTTTACCTCTGTGATGTCTTATAATGAAAATGCATTGCTTTTAATTGGAAAAATACATCACACAAAACTGAAAAGAGTGTGTTTAAAAATGCCATTTTACCTAAATAATGCATTGTGCTTTGATAATTATACTTTTTTGTAGGTGAAAAAGCTTCCTGGATGGGAAGCGAAAGGTCTTCAAATTTGGAAGCAAAGTCCAGTGGATTGTTTTTTAACTTTTATGGAACTTTTTTGTAGGTAAATGTCAAGGCTTAGATTCGAGGACCCAATATTCTAGGCAAGACAGACAGTATAGGATCAGGCAGAACAGGCAGGCAGTCAGGACAGACAGGAATCAGGCAGGCTCAGAAACAGGGATAAGTTCAGGCAAACAGGCAGGAAGCCAGGAATCGGAATGCTGGAATAGATCCCACTAATGGCTTGAAATAACCTGGCTTGATGACTTAAAGCACGCAAGTTAAAACTGATCAGTCGGTAACAGGAGGGCTCAATGGTTGAGAGGCAGAACAGTAAATCAGAAACACTGAGGTACTGCTGCACACTCTCCCCACTGTCTCGAGATTAATAATCTGGCCCTTATGACTGGTAGCAGGCAGCTTAAATAGAGGCAGGAACAGGTGGATCAGAGGAGCAAAGACAAACTTGGCAGAATTAGACAGGTGAATTAAATTAGTAATTATGCCAGTCATCAGGGCCAAGATGATGACAGTTAAGTGTGATGAAAAGTGGATTGGGGTTTCTGTGAAAAGAAAAATCATTATTATTTTTTTAATCTATTGCCAACTTCTAGTTAAATTATTTTATCTATAAAAGGCATCCATAACTGTTTATATACAGAGAGTTAAGAATAAATACTCAATAGTTATCAGTAGTTTAAAGTACTCATTTCACAGAAAATTTTTCTATCTTTCTTTCTTTTCTTTAAAGACAGAAAAGTGTTGCATAAAATTATTTTATCTGGTTAGCCAGACTATCTGTTCCGGTTGAAAAGCTATAGTAGGTAGCTGCTTTACAGAGAGCTGCTTGCAGTTTGTCAACTGTGGTTCTAAACCAGTTTTACCCTAATATGGTTATGTTTATTGTGTTAATCATCCATTTTAAGAAGAGACAGCATTATTGAGCTCAGTCTGACAGCACAAAGATTTCAGACCTGTCCTGTATGAAACTGGAACACGTTTTCTGCCCTGCAGTTAAAAACTGAGACAGTGTGTGTATGTGTGTGTGCGTCTGAACTTGTGATGTAACTAAGTTCGCCACTGTCTGCCAGCGCCGCATACGGCTGACATCGACAGATAACAACAGGTCCTCTGACTCTACGAACAGAGCTCCAATCTGCTATATGACACTTTGCAGGCAGACAGAGAGACACAAAATCTTAGACCCGGAATCAGAGAGAAGTGTAAAAACATGGAGCCTTCCTTTCTGGACAAACAGACTTTAAATATCTTATTTGCTAACAAAAACAACAAAACTCTCTCTCTGGATTCTTTCTTAAAGAAAATCAAAGCATCTATCAGCACTGCCAATTTAGCGCTGTGTGAGTTGATAGACTGCTCACATTCACACCCCCTCACACACATAAACGGCGATGAGTGGCTGTGACTCAGCAAATCTGAAGTAGCAGATGGACTTTTCCCACTCACACAAAGCAGAACAGTATTACCATCAACATGTATCAAAGAGGGAGGATTAAAAGCAGCTTATTGTTTGGACACGAGGGTGGGAAAATCCTGAGATAATCAAATAATATGCTGTTTTTTTAAGGAAGCCTATCAGAGTCCTTTTTTATAGACCCTACAAACCTGAAAAAGTTAAAAACAAGAGAAAATATATATATTAGGGGTGGAACGGTTAAAAAAATCCATGGTTCGGTTCGGTTTATGGTTTCGTGGTCACGGTTTTCGGTTCGGTTTATGTTGATTGTTACACCGAAATCCCATAAAAATGAATGAAATTAATGAAAAAATCTAAAACAATTCATGAATTGTAATTATTTTTAATGATCCGCGGAAACTCTGGATCATTTCCGCATGTTTTGCTGCTTTGAATTGAATCATCTGGCGCATGCTCTCTACCATCTCCAAGGAACTCAGAGCGGAGCGGACGGGAGCCACAGTGGAGGCTGTAGGCTTTGCTTTAAGCAGGCGGTCTGGAGCGCAGCGGGGCNCTCTCATATAACCTATGGTAGGTCTGAATGAATGAAATGTTCTCATTGAATACTGTTCTGTACTAGGTCAAATGTGCTGACAACAAAAATCACACAAATATCATCAGTCCTCTTAGACCTGGAATAAAGCATCCACCAACTCCTGGACAGTCTGTGGTACAACCTGACATTAGTGGATGGATTCAAACATGATGTCCCACATCTGCTCAATCAGATTCCGGTCTGGGGAACAGATGGGCCAGTCCATAGCTTCAAGGATCATCTTACAGGAACTGCTGAAAGACTCCAGCCATATGAGGTCTAGCATTGTCTTGCATTAGGAGAAAACAGGACCAACCGCACCAACATAGGGTCTCACAAGGGGTCTGAGGATCTAACCTCAGTACCTAATGGCAGTCATGATACCTATGGCAAACACATATAGGGATGTGCAGCCCTCCAAAGAATACCACCCCACACAATCACTGAACAATTGCCAAACCACTCATGCTCAAGGATGTTGCAGGCAGTAGATAACTATCCATGGTGTCTCCAGACTCTTTTATATCTGTTACATGTGCTCAGTGTGAACCTGCTTTCATCTGTGAAAAGCACAGTGAGCCAGTGACAAATTTACCAATCCTGATGTTCCCTGGCAAATGCCAAGCTTCCTGCATGATGTTGGGCTGTGAGCAAAACACCCATTTCTGGACATCAGGCCCTTATACCAACCTCATGGAGTCAGTCTCTAACCATTTGTGCAAACACTTGCACATTTGTGGCCTGCTGGAGGTCATATTGTAGGGCTCTGGCAGTGCTCCTCCTTGCACAATGGCGGAAAAGGCGATCCTACGGCTGTTGCCCTTCTATGTTCTCCTCCACATCTCCCAGTATATTGGCCTATCTCATGGTAGCGCCTTCAGCCCCTGGACACTATGCTGACAGACACAGGAAACCTTCTTGCCACAGCTCGCATTGATCAGCCATCCTGGATGAGCTACACTACCTGAGCCACTTGTGTGGGTTGTAGAGTCTGTCTCATGCTACCTCAAGTGTGAAAACACCAGCAACATTCAAAAGTGACCAAAATATCAGCCAGCAGGCGTAGGTACTGAGAAGTGGTTTGTGGTCCCCACCTGCGGAACCACTCCTTTATTGAGTGTGTCTGGCTTATTGTCAATAATTTGAACCTGTTGTCTATTCCATTTGCACAACAGAAGGCGAAATTGATTGTGTTTAATTCCAAGCTGGTTTTATTTTTACCTTCATTCAGCAGTTATACTTTAAGACACAAATGTGACAATATCATGGGACAAAATATTTTCCTTTATTAAGACTCAATGCAGTGAAAAAGTATTGACCCCCTTTCTTTTTTGTTGCCATTATATTTTTCTTCTTTCAATTATTTCAGGGGTTTTCTTTATACAGATTTTTATTTTAACTCAACACTGCTCAGTTGGTCACTAAGCTCATCAAAGTAGTTATCAACAAAGCGAAGCATCTGGATGACAGCGCTAAGCAGCAGGATGTCACAGTTCAAGTCCAGCTCCAACTCATCGCTGTAGTTCTTCACTGGAACAACGCAGGACATTGGCACGCCCACCTTAGCACTGATGTCCTGCACCTGGATCACAGAGGGGTTCAAAGTAGGATTCAGGAGCGGTTCATCAAATTTATAATCAAGACTTTTTTTTTTTTTTCAGTATAAGTACAAGAATACTAACTATTTTCTTGATGTATTCACTCCAGTAGATGTTTCTCAGATTCTTTTTCACTAAAGGACAAGCTTCATCTACTTTAGTAAGCAGCACCAGCTGAGGAAGGCCTACAACCAAGAAAGATTAGATTATCCACAACATGCCGTAAACAACTGGAGTTTAAACTTTATTCAAAAATATTTCAGTTATAAATTGTACTGACCCAACAGGTTTGCCTTGCTGCGGATAGCTTTCAGCTTCTCCACAAACCGTGTGGGCATAACAGAGACCTTGCAGGCATCAATGACATAGGCCACACAGTGGATCTTGTCATTGAGGCCTGGAGACTTGCGATAGCCATGAGCGTCATCATGCAGAGGAGCAGCAGGATTAAACTGTGTCGGCGTAAATGATTATGTTTAATCTATTTCATCTTAAACAAGTTACCACTAACTATAATCAGTATCACACCTGGTAACGATCTGGCATATGTCCCTCAAGAATGCTGATGATGTCCTCATTATCAATCCCCGCCCCTATGCTGTATTCGAGCCCCATGGTATCACACAGGACGATTGGCAGAGGTTTGCCTTCTCGTCCTGCTTTCAGAGAGTAGGTTCGAAACTGAAAAAGATGAAATATTAGACATAGAAAAACCCAACTAGAAGTATTTTATTTAATTGAGACCCAAGAAGCTGAATGAATAAGAAGCAGAGACACACCTGAGTAGTGAGACTGGTGGGGGAACAACCAGAGATGGCCTGGCAGGTGACATGACCTCTGAATACAGAGTTTATGGAGTTGAAGAAGCTGGACTTTCCAGCTCCTACTTGTCCAATGAGTAAAACTCGAGCCTGGGACACAGAATAGATTGTGGGCTTGTAGGTTTGGATGCTCTCCATCATCTCCTTTTTATTCCTGTAGAGAAACATCAAATAACTGAGATGCTTAAGCCAGATAACATCAGCAACATGCTCAGAGTATACCCAGGTTGTCTCCAAATGAAATGAGATAGAACTAGTTCCATCACAACCCTACACAGATAAAGTACAACGTCTGTCTAATTTCACAACCCTCTAACTTTGCATTTTTTAAATTCATGTTATCTTTTTTTTTTTTCCTTCTTCAGACATTAGAAGCTTCACCTGGCATGGTTTCTTTTAGGGGAGTAGCAGCCTAGTTGTTAGGACATAAAGCTTGGAATTCTGAGGTTTTGAGTTTGAACCCCACTCCCAGAGACTGCCACTCTGGGTCTCTGATCAAGATTCCTAACCCCACAATGTTTCTGCCGCGCAATGGCAGCTCACTACTCCCCAAGGGGATGGATTAAATGCAGAGAGTTAATTTTGCTGCTCTGATACATTTGGAATGTTGCTTTTTCAGAGTTACCATGGGCCCTCTGCCTGCTTCTTTCATTATGACACTCTTTGGCTACCTGTCCTGTTATCAAAGCTACTTAACGTTGTACCAAGCTAATGTCAATTCAAAATGAGTCTGACACACTAGTTAAAACATTTATTAAAAATCAGCCAATGACATATCACAGTGTAGACATTGCTTTATGATCAGCATATTAAAATGAAAACTGAAGTAATTACTAGTAGACAAACTAGTAAACAATCTGCTGTTATTAGAACCAAATTAAAGGTACTGTGTAGTGTTCTACACATCGAGACATGGCTATGAGTTTGCATTCAATGGACATCTCTAGGGAAAACAAAACCCTACAAAAGGCATCTTATTTCTTTAGGGTCTCCCTTAGAGAAAACTTCTTCAGACCTAAATTAAACAGTCGATTCAAGTAACAAATGAAACTGTTTACAAAAGAAGGTGAAAAAATAAAGAAGCTAATTAAGTGACACATATATTTATGTCTCACCGTATAATTGAATTTCTACCTACATATTTATTCATTGTATTTTTGGGGGCAATTAATTGAATGCTTATTTATTTATTTATTGAGCATTTATTTATTTATGTATTTATTTTATATCACTGATTAAAATGCATTAAGATTATAAGTTGACACAATTTGGAGAAAGTTCAAGGGATGCAAATACTTTTGAACCTACCCAGATTCCCAGATGACAGTCCTCCATGGCTTCTCAGGTTCAGTAGATTCTAAGTCATCAACCACCTGGTAAACTTCACATTCAGTCAGGTTCAGGTCATTTCCATGCATTTCTGCAGCATTGAAGTTGTACTGAGCTCCTGGGTTGCTGTATATCACTGGTCTGTTTCCATTCATAAGAGCTAGGGTATTACCAAAAGTAGGACCAGAGTTGCCAATCATTCTGACGGCATAAGGAGCATTAAAAACTGGATGTTTTTTTATTATTCCACCAGTAAAACTAAAAAGAAAAGCCCGGCCATCACTAACATACTGTCCAGACTGACTAAAAGACTGACTGGTGTAGCCTCCAAACACATAACCAGAAGCGTTGTAGCCCACAGACACAGTGGGTGACTGATTGTCACATCGCTGGTGGAAGGCGGCACCAGTAAAGCCGTGGACGGTGGCCTTGTAGAGAAGATTCAGTTTGACTCTTCCCAGCAGAGAGCAGATGGTTCTCTGCTGGTCCCTGGAGAGCTGTGAGTTCAGAGTAGACATCTGAGCTGCTGATCTTAATGTAAAGCTGAATTTCAAGTTCAGACTGAAAAGAGTGAAACAAAACAGATTTGTTAAGGATTTTTTAACAATAAAATAGTCAAACTTCCTTTGAAATCTTTGTTTACAAAAAGTAATGGTATACATCAAAACCAATGGCTACTCTAAAGTCTAATTAAGCCTGGAATAATATGCTACAAACTAAGTATTTCAATCATTACCAGTACTGTAAAATGTTTATCCAGGAACTTGAATTTCACATAGAACTATCCAAAACCAGTTTAGAATAAAAAATGTTAAATTTTAATTTAAATGGTCGTGCTTTGGTGGTGCAGTGGTTAGCGCACAAAACACATGTATGGAGGCCTTAGTCATCATCGTGGGGGACCCATGGTCCTTTCGCACATGTCTCTCCCCCTCCCTCATACTCCCATTCCTGTCAGCCTACTATTCATAAAAACGAGCCACTAGTGCTGTAAAAACAGAAGGAGGAACCAGTGAAGAAACTGGCTGTTTACTCTGTGTTGTATTCATGCTTAGCAATAGGACATGTGGGGGCATGAAAAAGGGGTAGTAGACAAGCTGCACAAGCAGAATTAAACACACCCCTGTTAGAACTGTAAAATATGAGCTACAACTGTTTAATTGATAGTGATAACCATCTCCTGAACAAGAGAAAACATCAGATACACATTAACTATGCAAATATGTCCAAGATAATCCTTTGTGAATCCTGCCAGTCTACATCTTGTGAATGTCCCCTTAACTTATCACAATTTTTTTTAAACACACTTTCCTTTCTCTCAACTTTTCCATTTTATATTATCATTGTTTAATTCTAGCCTCTGTTATTTCACAAGTCTACCTGGATTAGAAACATCCCAAGTTCAAAAAACTTATTTCAGGGAGACGACTAACCCCCCCCTTTCAATCTTGTAGCCTTGAACATCGGTTGTGCTTTCTGTTTTTCATGGGACTTCAGCATACAGTGCAACTTGCCACAGTGTCATCATTCCTCACCATGGCTGGTTCTAGACAGGGGCCAACAGGAGCCAGAAATTCTAATGATGACGCACTGAAACAGACATGGTTACTGATAAGTCCTATGGAACTATTTCATTCTTTTTCTTTACAAATTCTGTTTTACTAATTATTCAAAAACAATAAGGTGATAGCTTCAGTGGTATTGAGATAGGATCCCAGTTTTAATCTGCTAAATGTTTTTTCCCCACAACAAATAAAAAAACCCTCTAAATTTTACAGATGAATTTAACAGTTTTTCTTGAGTTCTAATTCATATTTTATAGAAAACAGTAGTTTTAACTTAAATTAAGTCAAAAATATGTAAAATTCCTAAATTATAAATGTATATTGACCTCATAAGAAATAGAATTTCTATTGAACCTCATTGAAAAGAAATTTCACTTCATGCAGCTCTCTTAATATATTTGAATCCCTTTCCTTATTTTTTATTTCATGCTTTTCTGTGCCCCCATGAAAACATGCTGGCCCCCTCCTGGCGCCCTCGTAAATTTGGTCTAGATCAGCAACCTCCTCCCCACACCCCGCTCTCTCTCATTGTCTGCGCAATCGAAGTAATTGTAATCCGCACATGATGCATGAATTATTGCATGCCCGCTCTCACTAGCATAAAAAAAAAACACCTCATATTGTCTAAAATCCATGAACAACTTCCGATATCAGGGAGACGCCCGGTCTTGCGAAATTTCATTACCAAGCTGTCAGGTAATTGAAACCTCTGCCTATCTGACGAAAAAGTACCTTCGTCCATTTTGTATCTTATTTTAAATACGCGTGCATCTCAATATATTAGAAAATATATGACATATATATTTATATTCGCTTTCAAAAGTGGAATAGATATACCGGTATACAATATTTAAACAGTGAATTTAAGTGTATCTGATTATTTTGATCATTGTGGCCTATAGTTTATTTAATGCCAAAAGTTAGTTAATCAAATACATGGGAACAAATAAAAACAGGATTTTCAAAGCGTGTTTTATGGAAAGTGACCTAGAAAACTAATAGGTGAAAGTCCTGATTCCAGACGGGTGGCACGACACTGGAAGCACATACATGTTCGCTCTGAGATGTATTTAGGGTTATAGTTTTCCCTTGGAAAACTATAACCCTAAATACAAGAGTAAAGTACAATTATATTTGAACATATTCAGGCTTAGTAATAGTGTCTGTCTTACCTTTATATCCTGATAGATCGTGAGTCTCAAAGCCTTAACGTAAAAGCTGCTGGAGAAATGAAACTTACATTGTCTCCAACTTCCCTATACATGTGTCTTAGTTGCCATAAAAGGAAAGTAGTCATGAAAATATTACACCACCCTTTACTGATGATGTAGTGTTCTCCAAAAAGAAACAGATAAATGACAAAAAAGTAAACAGGCTTTAAGGTCTTTGATAGCCATATGATCATTTTCTTACACAAAGGAGATATAATGGAGGTAGAGGGTGAAAATAAACTTCAGTTCAATTCAAAAATACTTTTTGGTTTTGTTAAAATGTTTAAAAAACTGTTTTGTTACCCTGAGTTCAGCTCAGTTAGACTTCTGCACCTGCTGACAGGTGTTGGTTCATAACCTGACAACAGCCAGATGCATGTCTCGCTCCGCCTAGCTCCACTCACATACTAGGTGGAGCGAGACATGCATCTGGCTGTTGTCAGGTTTTTTTATATATATATATATTTGTTCCTTTTTCAGTTTTGTGTTATTTGAATTACTACTGTGAAGTTATAATTTTATTCAATGGGAGGATATGTAATCTTTCAAGCAAAACTGTATCATGTCATCCTCAAAAGACTTCACAAATTACATTATACACATTATAAACAGTTTGGGACCTGAAATGTATCTTTGAGGTAACCAACATGACATATCATACTTCTTGATTTGATTTAGTTTATAAACTGATGTCTGTTATTTATGTACCATTGTAACCAGACGGAGCATAACACAGGATAGAAACCTTACAAAAACAAAAACAACAACATGAATACATCGATAAACTTAGAAACCAAGCTCAAGGAATTAATGTGTCAAGAATACTCTCTTCAATTCAGTTCAGAAATACTTTATTAACCTTAAAATGAAATGCTTATTAAATTTTGGAGTAACTCTTGAGCAATTTTTAATGAGTTGTTAAGTGCTGATAGGTATAAGCATGAAGGGTTTTCTGTATTGGTCTGTCTTGCAATGGATCTGGAGAAGCCTCTTAATGAAGACACTCTGTGGTTGTTTAACAATCATCTGAAGAGGATGCTAACTATTGTCCATAATGTTCTTCACTTTATGAAGAATTTCTTTGTGAAATAATCTCTAGAGGTTATAGAACAGTTCTTAGAACAGAGCCATGTTAATTAGCGTGTTAAACTTTTTTAAGGCATTTGCTCTGATGCTGTAACCCCAGTAGATGATGGAGGAAGAGATCACACTCTCAACAACAGATTGATAGAAGATATGCAACATTTTGCTGCAAACACAGCAAAATGTATTTCTTGTAGACGGCTTCACAGTTGCGTCTCCAGAAGTCTGTTGTCTAAGGGAACACCAAGGCATTTAGTGTAGAAAAGATTGATTGTAGGATAACACTATCTAGCGAGTTCAGGCCTGCCATGAAGGGTTCTGGAATAAATGCAGGCCTGAAAAAGTGAGGAAGAAGCTGCAATATGGCTGCAGCAGGTCAGCAACCATAATATACAGTTAATGAGCTAAACGATAGATAAATATAAAAGAGAAAGAAGAGATATTTTGCTTGCTTGAAAGTTTTGCAATGATGTATGCCCCTCATTGCTAACATATTTAAGAAAGTTCAGAATGCTAACTACAGAGCTCTTCATTACTAATAAAGGTAAAATGGCATGTCAAACGCTTACTCCAGGGATTACTAAGCTCTAAGACTCAGAAGTTTCTTGTTAAGTTGTATATGATTGATCAATACCTCTTTTCAAACTATCAGGTCAACACAGCAGTGAATAAAGCCTCAGTTAACAAGCTAAAATGGGGGAGATGGTCAGATAACCTGCTTAAAAAACACCTGTGACAGATGACTGGCTTGAAGATGGGCTGACAACCCTAATGGATTCCTCAGGTCTCCAGGATGATCTGCACTTTAGTCTAAAAAAAATATCGAATCACAAAGTATTTCTGGATCCAACCTTGAATGTTGCATTCATTTTAAGCTCAAGAATTGCACCTAAAAGGTTTGACCCATTGGTTGATTCCAGCCTTAATAATTATTAAAACCCAAAGCTTTCGGCAAATCAAATGAGCTGCTGTTGTAAATCTATTAGATGGAGTAAAGCTCACTACTACCTAACTTTTGTCAATTTGTGTAATTAAATAAACAGTAACTTTTCAACCTTTATAAAATGTTTTCACAACTTTTGTGGGTATACATCAGGCGCTGATGAGCCGGGTGAATTAATTTTTTCTTATTTTCAACATCATATGACATTGTTTCACCTCAATTAGATTCATTTCTCATCACAATTCATCTTTCACAAAGCCACTGGAAAATCGAAATGTAGTTTAATCCAAATGCAGGCGACAGGAAGATCAGAATTCTACCATGCTATGCCCTGGTCGTTATGGAAAATGCCGTCTTCCTTCAGGCAAAATAATACAGCTTTTGTCCACTGGGGCGGGCCACAATTGACCAAAACTGGAAGCTCTTTAGATCAGCTTTATAACACAACAATCTGTTCTTAATTTGGCATGTGCTTGTTGGCAAAAAATTTGTTTTGGGTTGTTAAATAATATAGTGAGAGACTATAAAAATTTATTTTCAGGCACTCACTTTTAATTTTCCGTTCTATTAAGTTTAAGTATATAGCACCAATTCACAACACATCATCTTAAGGCACTTTACAGAAAGAATTTAATCAGATCTCACACTCTGATTGGTTAAACGTTTTGTATCTAAAGAAAAGAAAGAAATAAAAAATATTACTGTTCCTCAAAAATATTATTGCTATTATATCAAAATACCACTGTTCTTGTTTATCAATTAATAAAGAAATAAAATAGCATTCTAGTTTACAAGAAAAAAGAAAAAAAGAAAAACATTCTTAACAGTAAGTTTGCTGTAAGGTAATTATTGCCTTTTGCCATTATGATCTTAGTGCATTTTAGTAAAAATACAGCCTACAAGTAATAAGAACTACGGAAAGTTGCTATGTTCCAGTTTTGTATGAATAACAAAGTACTCTTTGTAACAAAAATGCCAAATTATTACAACTGAATTTTTATAGCAACTTGTTTCCAAGAAATCATAAAAAACATTCCACATTTAAGGAAATCTTATTCGTAAACAAATCTTCCAGACGTTTTCTGTGGCGTGTAGTCCTGAAGAAACAGGTCAACGTACTGCAGGATGTGATCAACAGCACTGAGCAGAAGCACATCTGTGTTTACATCCAGGTCCAGCTCTGATGAGTAGTTCTTCACTGGAACAATGTAGGAGGTGGACATACCCAGGAGAGCTCCGGCTTTATTCATCTGCAAATACACAAGTCTTATATTCCAGTCTAAACCTTCTAAATAAAAGTACTAAAATATGTTAAATAAAAAAAATTATAAGGAATGCATAATGATTTCGGATGTGTAGTGAATATTCTGTAGGGATATTCTGATCTATGAAGATAAGTCTCTTCTAAATACACAATTTGAGGGAGCTGAACACTGAGGCCCAAATCCAATTTCAGCAGTATATCGTTGTTATTAAAGCTGCATCAAGATATTTAATCTAGCACCTATTCAACATAAAGACAATCCAGATAAACAGTTGTGTGATCACTTTTCATCTTGTCTCATTGATTTTCAGGATGTGAGTCTGGATGAAAAGAACAAGATTGTGGGATTTATCTACAGCTTTGGTGTTAATGTTTGAAGGTCAATCACTAACTGGCTGCCATCAAACTATAACAAAGAAGAAGAGGGAGGGACCCTAAATGCTATAGGCACATCCAGGCTCAGAATGGGAACAATTTTCAGCCCTGGCATTTTTCCATCTACACCAGCCCACTTATTGATGCACGCAAGACAATGCACGGAAGATGGGTAACATTAGCCTTTAGATGCAAAACCCCATCATGCACCGCAACATATTTTTGCACAATATTCAAGCATAAATTTGCCAAATATAAGAGGAACATCGTAGTTTGGTTTAAAGAAAGCATTTTAGATTAGAATCTATTTTGTTGCAAGGATTTTACAGTTTGAAGAAATAGAAAATGACACCATATGCCAACCGTAACAAGGATGTGCATGAAAAGGAAGGGCTATATATACTGCATGCATCATTGAGGTAGTTAACATGGTATTACTTCTTGAGCTCCTTGAGTTATTTACTGTCACAGGTAGGTGCTTTGGCCACAGAGTGGGTCGGTATGATCTAAGGAAGGCTGGCCCTTGCACGCTGAAATTAGGACCGGCCCAGGTATCACAGATTACCAATCCGAGCCCGGGCACACCTATCTTTGAAAATAGTTTTTTGTAAAGGTTGGGTTGGATCTACATTAGACTGGACGACCTTCATATGGTGAATACAGTAGCTCGGGTGTCTTTGGTGGGCAATAAAATGAGAAAGACTTAAGATAAAGGACGTTTCCACCCACCGTCTCTCTAACACTTGGGCTTCTATAGACTTGGCTCACATCTTTGGCTGTTTCTTGACAAATCTGGTCAACATGGGTCAGCAGAGCCACCTGGTGAACACCTAAATGAAGGAAAGAAAGAGACCAATAACCTTTGAAAAGTTCTTTCAATTCCAAAAATATTTGCTCCTTCTTTGTGCATTCATACCCCCAGTTCAACCCAATTGACACCTTAGCCCTAAACCACACACACACACACACACAAAATTGAAGATACTGAGGTATAATATTTTGCTGCCTGCATTTGATCAAAAACAGTACTGTGACCTGGTGAAAAAACATAGTTATTACAGAAGTGGGAAAATAATATTGTACTGAAATAAATGTGTTTCTATTGCAAACAATTTAAAATTAAAGACTGTAATCATTTCATGATCCGCAAATGTAAGGCTATAATGATCTATGACAGTATAGGATAATTTAAGGATCTGAGTACAAAACAAAAAAGCTACATGAATCCAACATGAATTATATTCTTTCAGGCAGCAGTTTTACAGTCTTTAAAAAAACTTGAATATCTTAGTCTAAATATGTTTATAGCCCTTTGATTCATGCTGTGGGGCATTCTCTGAAAAGCCTTGCTGCCTGATATGCCCCTCTGAGTGTAAAGGGTGTTTTTTATTTGCTCACCCAGCTCGCTGATGTACTCTCTGAGCTGTTTGAAGGCAGGGGTGAAGCCTTTGCCATAGGATGTCATTTTTGAGGCATCCACCACAAAAGCAACACAATGGATTTTGTCGCTGAGGCCGGGCGTCTTCACATAGCCTGCAGTGTCTGTGCCAACTGGTTGATCTGGACTGAACTGAGAACAATAAATTATGAGATTACTTTTTAAACTTTTAACTACGGTGGCTCCAACATGGTTATACATACAGAGGAAAGAGTTGAAGGAGCTTGGTTATAACTTCATCTGATTGCTTCTATATCTAAGTCCTTGTAAGAAATATGCTTTTCATAAAGAGGGGAGTATTGGTCTTGTGGTTAGGGCATAGAGCTTGGAATCTTGAGGTTCTGAGCTCAAGCCCCACTCCCACAGAACGCCACTCTGGGTCTCTGAGCAAGAACCTTAACCCCACACTGCTCTCCGGGTGCCTCATGATGGCAGCCCACTTTACCCCAAGTGGATGGGTTAAATGCAGAGCTAAATTTCTCCAATATGAATTCAATAAACTTCAATTATTAAATATTATTGAACAACAAAAATGTCAATCTAATCTTCTTACCTTGTGCCCCTCAGGAACGTGGCCTTTTATCACTGACAGGATGTCATGTAAGGTCATCCCAGTCATCTCTCCGTCCCCGAGGCCCATGCTGTCACACAGAACCAGCCTAGTATTCTCTTCTCCCTTCTGAGCACGTATGTTGAAGGACTGTAACTAACAAAAGATCAGTGTTGTGGGACATAAAGCTATTACAACAAACCTGCTCGACAAAATGGAGAGGGGAAATGCACTGCTAAATGGTCCTTTTCCATATGGAAAAATTACTTTAGTTGCAACAACAGGTACTTGTACCTGTGTAATAACAATAAAGTTTAATCTAATCTGAAAAATCTAATCTAAATGTATGGGGGACCAGGAGAGTCACTGAAAAAGAAAAAAACTATCATTTCAAAATCTAAAATTAAATCATACAAATAGAAATCCATTTTGAAAAGCATTTTCCAATTGTAAATTTTAAAGCCCAATTCCCACAGACTGCCACTTAACCCCACACTGCTCCCTGGGTGCCGCACAATGGCAGCCCACTGCTCCCCATGGGGATGGGTCAAATGCAGAGCTAAATTTCTCAAATGTCAGATCAATAAAATATATATATTTTTGTATTATATTTATCTTTTTTTTAATACTCTGATTTGAAAAGTACTGAAACACTGAAAACCAGTTGTAAGATGTATATAGCTCTATCATTGGTCATTTTTTGAACTAAATGCGATTTTGAACTGGTTTTCAGTGTGCTCAGAGACCAGAGGGGCCATGTGAAAGCTAAATGGAGAGAGAAAAGGGAAATGAAAACATGACTGCAAAAAAGGATTTGAAAATGTAAGGTGAAAAACAAAATGGAAATAAAAAACGTAATTTCCTTTTTAGATGTGTGATTAGGAAAGCTATTACAATCTACTCATGAATTGTGGATTGTAAAGCTGTATTAGGAAATGGGATTTGAAAATTTATTTTGAAATTGCAGAATTTAATATTGAATTAATAAATACAATTTACAGTTCCTCTTTGGAATTTTAAAAAGCTTTGGAATGGAAAAGCTTTTCAAATTCGATTTCTAATTATATGATTTAAATGTCAAATTTGAAATGGCTGTTTTTCTTTTTAACTGACCCCAATGGTCTTCCATACTAAATGGGGGGAAACCATCAGCCAGTTTATATAGTAGCTTTTAATTTTAATTTTTTTTTTTTTTTTTATTAGTGCAGGATTTTAAAATACCTACACTAATTAAAACAGCTATATGCATTGAAGTAAGCACATGACTGCTTCTGCAGATAGGATTTTAATGAAAGCCAGGTAAAAAGCGAAAAAAAAAAAAACAAGCAAAAAACTCAAATAAACCCCGATGTAGGCTATGTTTTGCATTGTTTTTTTCTTTTTAAAGTAACAGTTTGCATGGTTACAATAGCTTTGTCCCTAAAATGAATGTAACACAAAAATGAAAATGCCTGTAACATATTTTCAGATAAAAAGTAAGATTTGGGGGATGCTATTATTTTGGGGGCCCTGAGCACAAATACTGCGTGAGGCCCACCTTACACCTGGAAATTAACAATACAGTATTTTTATTATCTTGTTTCACTTAATTTCCAGAATAACATCCAAGTATTAATGCTTTGAAAATAGCTACAATAAATAAGAGGAAGGATTAAAATCTAGAAAAAAAACAACAATTTAACTATTTTTGCTCAAATGGTGCATATATTCCCACACAAAACAACGTTGTAGAGTGCATTATAGAGCTAGGACTCATCCTATAAGTACTGTTAGAATAAAGCTGTTAGAATAAATCTTTCTCTACATAACCATACATTGTAATAGATCAAGTCACTCCATCTTAGGTCTTTTATAGATTAACACTATACTATTAAATACTTTTAAAGTCACATCAGTTGCATCTGAGTTTTTAAGCGCCATTTTTTTACCCATCATACTGACACGGTAGAGGCTCTGCATAGTGGAGTTTCACTGAATGTTTCTGTTGCTGTTCAACCTATACCTTTTTGGTGAAGCTGGTATTGAAGGAGGACCCCACCATGGCCCGGTTAGTGACTCTCCCATTAAACACAGACTGGACTGAACTGATGAAGCTGGACTTTCCAGAACGAACCGGTCCAAGGAGGAGAACCCGAGCATGAGGCACATCCTTACAATGCGGTTTGTAGGAGCTGACGATCTTCATCAGGTTTTTCTTTTGCCTAAAATGTAAGGACATTTAGCATTAAAATAAAGCTGAAAATGACAATATTTATCAGAGCGTAATAGTACCCACTCTTCAGTCCACTGCACATCTCTCCACGGAGTTTCCAACTTTATTGGAAGTCCTGAAAACACTAGAACAATTAAAGATTAGAAACCAAGTCAATAGCTAGCCTAAAAAAAATACTTTATCTTAAATAGGCCTTTCCTTTTTATGTTTGGTTATTGTTTCTGCGTTATCAAATAAAATATTCATTTTATTTTCAAAAAGAAGCAAACTGTAATAATTAATTTATCATGTGGACTTGATGCAACTTTTCTTTGATGTACCTTTTTGAATAATTATAATATTATTGCAGTCTGGTAAACCTCAAACTAAAATATTATTTTCAAATCTGAAGCTGACTTAAAAGCATACAAGGGTGGTTTTTAAACACTTAAAAAAAAATTCTAATACCATGTAAGCACAGAGCTGTACATTTACAATGGGCACCTCAGAAAAACTTTGAGTTCCGATTAAATGTGTCTGTTTCGACTTTAAAAGCGTGCATAAATTCTTTTACAAGATTAAACATCTGCTAGCAGCTTACCTGGGATTGCTACACACCTTTCCTTCTTGTTATCTTTTGTGGTTTCATTTTGTAACAGGGTGTTTGTACTGAAGCTGGCAGAAGCCATACCAAACGCAGAAGTTGTATTTGTTGTAGCTCCAAAGGGGGTCACTGCAGTTGTAGTCACTGGAGCTCCAAAAAGGGGGAAAGAAGCTGTAGTCCTTGGTACCCCAAACAAGCTGACAAAAGAAAACAAATGCATTAGACAGTGCTAAAATAGCATAATGCAAAGAGATGCATTGATTCCTTGTTTCTCAAAGAAAAATACCAACAATCTAATAACATAAATTTTGTGTATTTCTACATTTGTCTGAGTTTTTTTGTTTTTTTTTTGCCTCTTGCAACATATTAACAACACAAAATATCTTCCCCCTCACATCAAAAGTGATAACACACTTTCAGTTTGGCTTTTGTGTTGTAGATGTAGAAGAAACATGCTCAAACTTAATTCTGGACAGTATGATAAGGTGGATTTGAAAAAAAAAGGTGCTTTCTGTCAACACAAAGTCAAAGGAAGTAATGAAGATTTAGGAAAATATTTAAAATGGAGCTAGAAATTGTCAGCAAATGGCTGCATGAGAGTTCAAAAAGAAATTCATAAGGCTGACTCCCCTTAATGGCTGAGACTAAAAACAGGAAAACTATTTGAACTCAATACCATTTCCATTGCAAAACCACATTATGAACAAAGCAACAAAGATTCAATGGTTAATTAAAGTAGACCAATAAAATATGAGAAAAGATAATTTAATATGTGTAGATTTTATTTTAAGACATGAATACATTTGTTTCATGATTTACTAAATTATTTCATGTTCCTGCACTAAAGCACAGCGTAATTTTATTGAAACTGTCACAAATCCATCAAAGTCAAAGCATTCAAGAGGCGGGACCAGATCTGTATCCACAGAAACCCTGATGCTGTGCAAAATAAGACAATTATTTTCTGGTTTTCTTTCACTCTACTGTCAGTGTTTTTGCAAGAAAATTTGTAAATACATTTCTAAAATGCGTTGTCATTTATTTACAGCAGATTGAGTGAGCAGTGTGAGCTGCTTTATCCCTTTTCTGGTCTCTGAAAGGTTAGGTAGATAAGGTTAGTCAGTGGGATGGGCTAACTTTGATTCTGCTGAAGTCCTAAAGCCTGCTCAAACTAGTGGCTTATGACTTTTTAATCTCTGATCTGATTTTTTTCCATGTGACACAGACTGCAGTGCGTATAGAGGGGCTCTGACCACACAGGGTGAGCAGATCACAATATATGCAGATTTGTTTCCACCTCTGTCCACAATTTAAAACATTTTCTCACATTTGATTGGGAAATATTATAAAAAGTCATTAAAAAAGAAGGAAAAAAAGATGCCATGTCTACTAAGAAACATCCCACTCCATGCCCAGACTGATGTGCATCATCTCAATCCAGAACAGATTGAGAATTTTAATTGGCTTTTATTAGAATTACAATGGGAACTACATTTGAAGCAAAGGAAAACGCAGCTATAAACGCTATGGGATGATTTATAGCTGCTGTGTGAGGCAATGAGAGATGTTATTCAGAGAGATATCTGTGAAGTTCATTAGAGGGAGAGTGATAAGCTGTGCCTTCCTAGCCCTTACAGTTTTGCCCTCCCTGTTTTGTTTTTTGTGAGGCTCAAAGAGGATCACAATTTTACTAAGTCTGTTTTCTGTCTTTTTGAAGTTTATCAGTGTTTTTTTTTTTTTTTTGGGGGGGGGGGATGTGATGTTCTTTGGGTAAATTCAGATTTTAAAAAAAGTTTTCTTGATTGTTTATGCACGAGTCTGCCTTGCCTGCTTCACATGTGCTACTTCAAACCTGTTTTCCCTTGACATTGACAGATTTTAATTTGTATTTTCCCTCAAAGCAGATGTGTTTTACGTCTCTTTTCTTGTCAGACCCGTGGAATTAATGCTAAATTGATGTCCGATTAAAATAGACTCTGTCAGAGTTATTCCCCCTTGGAGGAAATCATGTTGATGTGTTATTCCTGACTTTCAAAGAGTGCTAAATGCCACAATCTTGTCCTGTACGATTTTCTGTCAGATCAGACGCAAAATCAGATTTTATATGTTCAGGGCTTTTATGCAGCTCCCACCACAGTAGACAACAGCAAGCTCTCTCATTAGTTTATATTCAGACAGAACTAGGGATATACATGCTGAATTGAATCACAAAATTTGCTGTGAATAGATTGAAACACATTTTTTAAGTTATTTCCACCTTTCCCCAGAGATCATATCGACTTTTAGGTAAAAGAAAGCCAGAAAGATGTCGCCATATTATTTTGCTCAATTAGAAGCTGCCAATCAGACGTCAGGGATTCTATAAGAGCTGCTCTAGTCCCGCCTTCTTGAATTTCATGGATGTGTGACAGTTTAAAGTAATTTCAATGTCTGCTTCAATGCAGGAACATGAACACATGAAATAAGTAGGCCTACATTTACTTCATAAAATCCCTTTATTTAACTGAGATCCAATAATTCTGGATTGAGTTTTGTTGGGTGTAGCAGCACGTTGCTGATTCATAAAAATCATATGAGCTTGGTTTATTCTTTACTGCTGTTGAAACAGAAATTTAACAATTTAACATTGGTATTTTTAAATGTTGGTATTTGAGATACGATAGCAAGTTTGCAGAACTTATTCCTTTCTAGTCTCACATATACGCTGAAAAAAATAATGCAACCACATTTGCCATTTACTTAAACATATTTAGTAACACAATTTTTCATGTCCTAACCTGATTACATGAAACAATTGTGTTAAAGTAACTAAATATGATTAAGTAAATGCCAAAAACGGTTGCATAATTTTTTTCAAATGTTTTGTAGGGTGAATAACAGGTGAAGCAGCTGTCACGCAAACTGAACTGGAATGAGCTTAAAAATTATGTTCTGTCAAAAGGAATATCGAGTCCTCCATGGTCCTAAGTTTTACAGATTCTTGCTGTTACCCAAAATCAAGCAGAGTTTTGACAAACAATTGGACCATTATTCTGCAGCCAACGAAAAAAAAAAAAAAACTAGTGACAAAGAAGGAATTGAATTAGACGCATTTGAATAAATAGGGGGAGAAAACAGAAAACACATAATAGACCAGACAAATACAGTTAAGCTCAAATATGTTATGTTATTTTGACAGATTTATAATAAATAAAAAAAATACATAAAATAACTCTCCTGGATTGTCTTTTATCTTTCAGCCCTTCATATCAAAATCAATATGACTGAATTTATTGAAGTTACAATGATTTTGATCTGCAGCTGCTTTCATGGTTTAATTTATTAATGAAGAAGATAAATACTCATTAACATGTTTCTATACCTACTATGGATGATACAGCTGACTGAATTACAAACATTATAAGTAGCCTATGTAAGCCCAATTTCAATCTGTGTAAAAAGCGTTTTACTATTTGAACTTGACAAGTGAAACAAATGAACTTTAATCAGAATCCCTGACATGGTTGCAGTGTTGGCTCTCTGTCAGCTGCATTTCTGGGTTTTTCAATCTGGTATTTAACAAACACATGTGGACAGACTAAACATTATCATTATCTATCACCAACAGATAATCTGCCTACCCAGTTTGGACATCCTTTTTCTCCATAGTGACTTCTGCAAGCAGACGTGAAGGAGAGCAGCTGGGTGAAGATTCGTCCTCAGCGATGTTTTCAGAAGAAAAGAAAGTGAAACTAAAAGCTTTTATATAAAGAGCGGGTAGAGACAGGCGTGTTGCATGAAAAGGCTTCAGTTGTCAAAGCAAAGATCCTATTCAGTTCCATTCAATTCAGTTTATTTATATAGAGTCAATTCACAACACATGTCATCTAAAGGCTATTCACAGTTCACTACTCATACAGTCAAACTGATTCAAAGTTTTCTATGAAAGGAAACCCAGTTTATTGCATCGTCTCATTGACTCCAAGGCAGACATGGGCAATGTGGAGTCAACAAGTCATCTCCATGTCATGTATTTGTTCTACCCAGCCACTGAAGCAGGTGAGTCCAATCTTCACCGTGAATTAACCTGTGCAGATTGGACTCACCTGGTTAATTGACTGGGTAGATTAAATACATGACATGGAGACTTGTTGACTCCACATTGCCCATGTCTGCTCCAAGGTAATCCCTATTCGTTTCCTATAGGATCGATCATGTGCACTATACTAATTCTGCTTGGTCTATACATTAGATCGGCGGTTTTCAAAGTGTGAGGCGCGCCTCCCCTGGGGGGCCCCAGAGCACCTTAGGGTAGGCGCGGTGAGAGAGAAAAAATAAATATGGATTTAGGACCAAGTTGGAACTGTGGGGTGCGCGTGTGGAGCGGGGATCAGTGGAAATGTTTCCCATCTTAAAGGATGTTTTGGCCAGAGCGGGGCTGAAGGTGGAGTTTTTACAGCAGGCTGTCTGCGCGCATTTGGAGGGGATGCGCGAGCAGTTTGGAGAGGAGACAATGGCAAACCAGTGGGTGAGAAACCCATTTTCCTTCCCAGTGACACTCAAAGATGGACTTTCAGCAGGAGAGGAAGAGGCTCTGGCTGAGCTGAACTGTGACATGGACTTGAAACAGAGGATGAGTGACGTGTCACTTGCGCACTTTTGGCTGTCAGTAGGGACTGAATTTCAACAGCTCTCAATGAAGATCTGATCAAAATGTTTTTGTTAAGATGTGAAAACACTGTTGGTATCTCAAACATTAAACTCAGAATCTCAGATGTAACGTTTGTTTGAGAAAACAGTTGAAAAGTGAGTTTGGGGTTTTTCTTATCATTAGAAAAATGAAAAAAAAGGGCGTATTTGCCATACAAAGGCCCCAATAAAATAATTAAAATGGGAGGAAATGTTTTAAAATGTTCATGTGTTAAATTTCATTCAGATAGTGTCATTTTAAAAGATGAGATGGTTCTAAAATAAAAGCAATTACAAGGTGTTTTGTAGTGGCATTTGTTTGTGAGTTGTTGTTTTTTTTTTGGGGGGGGGAGCAGCAGGCATAGAAGGGGGGGCTCACCCTTTCATACTTTGAAAACCCCTGCATTAGAAAATTAAATTTGTTATTAAACCAAAACCTTAAAGAAAAAAAAATACAAAAAGAAAATAGTAATTTGTTTGAAGTTCTAGGGAAGACATATTTAAATTTCAAATCATTCTGGCTTAAGCATGTATATAAATGTACTCTTTATATTGTCCCAAAAGTTAAAAAATATCTCTATATAATGTTTAATATCTATAATTTTAAAAAATACTGTCTTAAAATCTCATTTTTTTTTCATGATCTTATGCTGCCAATTAGTTATATGTCAGCTTGTACACCTAAATTCAGCCAATCATATATCGATGGTAATCTATTAATCAATTTTTCGGTCATAGCATCTTGATTCATATGTCCCAGCTAATATATGCAACGGCTGAAATAAGAATAATTTACCTTACCATGTCTTTAAAGTATACTATGGCTCCTTGATTGTTTTAACAGACTGGAAACCAGCCCAGGATCACTTCTCTCCTCAGTCTAACGCTATTTTAATGTGTTACAATGCTAGTCCGTTCCCAATGGGAAATTACATTGGGACCAAGTAGCACTTCGCAACGCCACTGTCAAGGAACGCTATGGACAGCGGAAACATGCAAGAGGAGAGTTTTGTGTCGGAGGTCGTGGACGAGTCTCTACCGTCATGCATTTTTTATTTAAAGGAGGAAAGCGGGGATGAAGATGTTGTGGAAGAGGACGCCAGGGCGGCAGAAGCTTGGTTTGGTATAGGAGGCTTACAGCCATCCATGTTTGAGCCCTTGCCTCGCAACGCTGCCAGTTCTGTTAGCTCTACGCCTGCCGAAGACACAGACGTTCATCCCCATGAACACTGGGACGGAACTCAAAGGTAAAGTAGATTATTCTTATTTTTTATATCAACCGTTGCGTATATTAGCTGTTAGATATGAATCAAGATGCTATGACCAAAAAAAATTGATCGACAGAAGACTGTCAATCAGAGCCTGGTTCTGCCAGAGGTTTCTTCCCAATGGGGAGTTTTTCCTCTCCACTGTCGCTTCATGCTTGCTCATCATGGACAGGTTCTCTCAACCTCTGTTATCCAAACTGGACTTCCATCTTCCAGGTCCCTGAGTGAAGCTCTAGTATCAGCTCACGTAGTCCACTGGATTTCCCATAAAGCTCAGCATACCGTCTCACTAACCAGCAGTCTACAGACTGACCAACTTCATCTGTCTCCACTCCACCACCAGTTTCAGGCCTGGGGGGGAAACAGCCCTATTCTTTGCTTCTGTTCTTGAATATCCATCAAAATTAAGCGCTCTGTTTCCTGCCGAGGTCTGAGCGCCAAAGACAAAGTAATCGTATCAGTAAATCTCTCCTAATTGTCTTTTCTCTTCATGTGAGTTTTTCAGATTGAAATATTCATTGCTTACAATAAAAGCTTTCAAGCCTTTATTTCTTGTGATTTGGTGATTGTAAGACAACGAAAACCCCAAATTTAGAGTATCAGAAATCTAGAATTTTGTAACAAAAATAGATATTAAAATTTGTAGTTTCACAACCCTAATAAGCTAATGAGCTAAAACACTAGCAAAAACCTCTGAATAAAAGGCCGAAACCTCAATAGCATCACTGTGCTGCAACTTTCAGATGCATCCCTGCTGCAACACACCTGAATCAAATGGCTGCTTGAGAACAGGGGTTGTAGTTTTTATATCTATATCTATGAGTATATGCTCTGCTTTTCTGGATTGTTTGGTTCTGTTCTGGTTTTCACTTTGGATTTTCAGTGACGCTTTGATTTTTGTTATTCTGTGTTTAAGATTTATATTGTTTTTGAATTTCTTATTAGTTTAACTCTTCCTATATGTTTATTTTAGTTATTTCTTTTCAACATTCTTGATATGAATTTAATCACTATATTCCCCACATGCAGTTAGACTTTGCTGGACTATCTAAAATAGTTCCTGTTACTCCCCTCCTGTATTAGCCCACTATGTTCCTTGCCTGTTTTCCCTTTGGATTCAAATTACTGCTGCCATCATTAATAAATCTACTAGAAACCATCTTTGCCTCTGCAATTTGGATCCTTCTACAAACCATAAACAAACCCTGGCAGATAGTAGAGTGAACAGCTTTGAACTGCTTTCACTGTGATTCTCCTTTATGTTGCTTTTCTTCTTAAAATACATTTGCTCCACTAGAGGGCGTTCCAGGATTGAATTGGATGCTCCTGATCTTTTCTTGTTGATAGACAGCAGGGGTCAACCTTTGGCCATACTTGAGGTGTTGACCCTTCATTGGACAAGCCTACTACCAAATATGAGAAACTTGTCCCCTTGCTCCACCTCAGTCTGCCCTGCTTCACCCTCACCTTCATCAATCTGCAGCTTTTAATAACTTCAGGATATTATTAACTAATATTCATCTGCTTATGGTCGTGCTGACTGCTAGACCTTCAAGTCAAACTCCCATTGTGCATGTGTGTGTTTTTGTGTCTGGGTGTGGGTCCAAGAACCTCATTTTGATCATGTATGACCTCAAAATCTGCCGGGTTTGTAAAATGACCTCTCTATGGAAGGTTATTTATTTGATTTTGGGAGAAGAACTATTTACCGTAAAAGTTTGGTGACTATTCCCTGTTTATTAGGCAAGGCAAGGTAAATGTATTTGTATAGCACAATTCAGTACAAAAACAATGCAAAGTGCTTTACATGATTAAAATATAGAAAAATAAAACAGAATCAAAGCAAGTAGGAAAAAAATAAAATAAAAAATGCAGAAGCAAAAAAGAAAATGAAAAATAGTTGGACTAAAGAAAATAAAAAAGTTGAACTAATGATGTTTCAGTTGAATTGTTTAACTAGAAAAGTCAAAGGCAATCCTAAACTAATGTGTTTTTAGTCTTGATTTAAAGGAACTCAGGCTTTCTGCACTTTTACAGTTTTCTGGAAGGTTGTTCTAGATTGATCAGTTTCTATCAGCTATTACAGTACCAGATCTACCCTTGGTTTTATTTGTTGTTTATTTGAATTTGTTCTTTTGAACCTTCTCTGGTGACTGCAGTTCAGAAATAGTTGCCCAAATGATCACCCATTACCAGAAAAAACACTCTCGGGGGTCCTTTTTTATAATCTGAGATGCATTAAGTTACACACCTTACACTAAAACAATGATGAGTTTTGCTGTGTCAGCAGAAATACATTACAGCCTTAATTCTAATTATGAGAACTCTTAAAGAAATACTTAGTGTTTGTAAAATAAAGATCCAAAGTGGATGTAACTGTTTTTGAAGGAGTCTTACTCATCAGGTAGCATTGAAGCTCCAGCTGCTTTGTCATTCAAAGGCCTCACCTCAAACTGAAATACAACCTGACACGGCCTTGTGGTCATGACTCAGTGTCACTTTAAGTTATACAAGTGTCAGTTATTAGAAGGGACGCTCTGTAGTCTCATATCTGTGGACAGAAGATGTTGTTTCAAAAACAACCCATAACTCCAATAACAGAAGCAACCAGAACATGGACTTCAGGTATTTCTAAACCTGTGAAATCTTCCTTTAACTTCCAGGTTACTTTTATAGGATTAGTGGAATCTTAAAAAAGGGAAGCATTAAGGTTTGATTTGAAATTAAAATCCATCCTTCCTTATGTTCTCATGATGTTTTACACTGACTCAATGAGGAGTAGGCAGTTTCATACAAAAGAAACCAATAAGAAACATTTACATTTTTCCAAAAAATAAGGTTCAACAACAAACGTCTCTGCTTTCTTTCTTTTTTTTTTTTTTTTTAGGATTTTAACTTAAGCTGTTGTATTTGCAGTAGTTGTACATCAGT